CGCTCGTCCATTTCAAGCCAGACGCAATCTGAGGAATTCGTGTTGCACCAGGGAAAGCTAGGGAACTCGCCAGCAACACCGAAATTGCTGGGAAAGTTCCTCTTCTTTGCTCTGTTTTTTTCTTGTGCACTTTTTACTTTATCATGAACCGGTACCAACTGGCTCAGCTTTCAATCCTGATGCTTAGAAATGACCCTATCCCAAAATTACACCCTCTTTAAGCAAATCTAGAAACCCTGCACAGTAATGTGTGCGAAAGACACCATCAAGGTGGCAAAGCTATTGTATAATGCTGCCTACACCCTCATGTGGGGAAGTACAAGCTCCGCCGCAGGGATGGGCAGCTACCAAAGAGGTGCGGCAAGGCTAATGTATCATTGAGTTGCCTTCTTTTGTACAATTTTGAACAAGAAAAAGTGAACTATATTTAAGCGATCGGCTTTCCATTTTTAGCGTCTTTTGCAGACACAGCTGTGCAGCATTTCCAACTCTGCTTGAAGAGGGAGTAATTTCGGGATGTGTCTATAAGGACACCTGACTGGCAGTTGTGGCAATATGTTTCACATAACTGCCCAACAATTGCCTACAATTTTCCATACATTTTTCCCTGTGGCTGTGACACCATGTCTTTGCATATATGTACAGATAGAAAACAATTACCTGGCCGAGTCATTCAGCACCAGATGCTGCTGTTTGTAGCGATGTGCTGAACGCCTGGGGACACTACCAGTGTCAGATTGGAGGTACATCTTGTACGCCCCCGCCTGCTCCATCTAAAACAAAAATCAGGGTTATTTGCACATAATGAATGCGCACAAGAATCATACATATGAAAGACCAGCCCACACGCTCAAAAACATTAGCTGCGTTCGATTTACTTACACCTCCTGCACAGGTGCAGAAAAGTGTAGGGCGGTGTACTTCCGGCCACATCTGAATACAGATGCCGGAAGTAGACTGAATACACATGCCGGAAGTAGACTGCCCTACACTTTTCTGCAGCGGTGCAGGAGGTGTAGGTCAATCGAACGCAGCTAACGCTTCAAGAGCAATGCGATATGCACTATGTAGTGCAGCTCCACCAGAAGTTGCTATATGCACGACAGCACGGAGAGCTCATGCCATTTGGGTCACCCTTTTCGGATATCATGTGTCCTCTTGCCCGCATTCACACCGCTCCGCGGCGACAGCCTGCGGCTGCTCATTACAAAACTATAAACCCACTTGGCCCCCCTCGAACACGCCGCTTGGAGGCGTCCAGCCGACAACCGAAGTTCCGCTTTGGTGCCTGGAACGCGTCTCCGACTGGAGTGTTTACCCCGCCCAAAAAAACTGGTCCCTCCATTCCCGCCTAGTGACATCATAGAAGTGTCATGCTGCCGCCAGCCGCGATCCTGGTGGCGTCCCAATAGCTCTGGTGTATGTGGCAGACGCCTGTTCTGCAGGTCGCACTCCAGGGTGGCAATCCATGGAAGCGCCAGCAGCCAGAAGTTGGGACACCGCGACGACAGCGACACTCGCGTTCGCTCATGCTTTTTGCCAGCATTTCTTCAGCCAACCGCCAGGATCACGACCTCCGACAGCATGACACTCCGGGTCCTGTGACGTTATTTGTTGCCACTTTGGGACCACTTTTGATGTATGGGCAGCACAGGACGCTGAACACACCAGTCAGAGACGCGCTGCAGGCACCATAGTACCACTGTCCCCCACTGCACCTCCGGAAAGGGAGTCCCATACCATTTAGTTCAGCAAAGTTTCGTCGACAATGTTCTTTTTCCCTCTTTCAATGATAATTGCAATAAAGAAACGTCATCAATATCGCCAAATGCTCGACAAAAAAAAAGTTAGAAAAGAAGGGAAAAAAAAGTAAACCCACTCTGGCTCGAACGTGTATATAGAAGACTCCTTTCCACTACGCTACGCTACAGCTACAAAACACTTCTTCTGACAATTCGTTTAATACGAGACCCAACAAGTTTCGCGTCGTGCGTATAGCCATTTCCGGTCGAGATGCATGGCGTAGTGCGTATAGCATTAAGGCCGAACCGCATGTAAGCGATTTAGCAAGCGACAAGACAAGCGACGGCGACAGGGACGAGAGTCGTCAGCGACAAGCGACGGAGATTTCTCACTGTCACCCATCGCGTCGCTGTTTTTTTTATTTCTAGAAAACGTCGCTCATCGCTCCCGTCGTTTTCATGCGGTTCATTGTCGGTCGGTCGGTCACTCGCGCGACGAGGCAAACCGTATGAAAGCGACGGGAGTAAGCGACCAGAGCGATGAGCGACGATTTCTAGAAATCCAAAAACCGAAGAACGCGACAAGCGACCGTGAGAACTCCGTCGCTCGTCGCTGTCACCTTCGCTCGTCTCGTCACTCGCTATATCGCTTAGATGCAATTCATCCTTCAAGCGAGTCGTCGTCGCTTGCCTCGTCGCTCGCCAAATCGCTGCGTACAACACCTCCAGCGAAAAAAGAGCACTCACTTTTGTGCACGCCGACAACGGAAACGCCGACGACGTCGAGGATCCCAGCCGATCTATTCAAATTGAAGCTGCAGGTGCAATGCGTCCGCGCAACCTAACGTGGACATTATTTACTTTAAACGGTCTCAAAACATGCCTGCCGTGCCTACTGTCAACACATCACTGTTATCACAACGTGCTGCGAGACGCTGCGCTGCGGAGCACGTGTTCTGGCTCGCAAAAGAGCTGGGTAGTAAACTAGACGCCTCTTTGGACAATCCGGACACCCGCTCCTGACGTCCCGCGTCTCTGACGGATGAAAGCGCCGCCTTTATTGCATGTAGCGGCAATTCTTTGAACTGCTTTGGTGGAGCAGCGCCCCTGCAGTTTTCACAAGTGGCGCTGCGAAATGTTGGTGGTAAAACTCGCACGGATTCAGGCCGACATTATGTTGAACGTTCACTATCTAAAATGAACACGGTAGAATCAAACAAAGCAATACTTTTTAAGCAGTGAGAGAGTGCAGGCGAGCTGGTAATCAATCGACGTCTTGTAAACCCTGAGATGGGGAACGATAAAAAAACGTCCGTTTTTTTATCGTTCCCCGTCTCAGGGTTTACAAGATGTCGAAAGCAATACATTTGCAGTGCTTTGGCTGGGTATGTTGATCTAGCCAGATCTGCAAGTGGTTTACGTTGTGAATTAAATATTTTGCTGGTGCACGAGTTCACGTTATGGATAAGGCACTTTCCCGGTGCTGAGTATGAACTCTTGCATGCGGTTGCTAATGTAAACCACGCAGTAGCGAGTTACCAAACCTTATGCGGGGGTTGACGGAACAAGATGCACACTTTTGCTTTCTTGTGCAGCCTTGACAACGTTGTTCATGAAAAATTGACGCCGAACTTAAAGGAAGTCTAGCCAGCGCACGCTTCCGACAGGGGCCGGCCAGAAAATCGCATGCGAAACACAGTGATGAACGCTGGAGGCTGTTTCACGCACAGCGACTGCAGGAACTGTGCGAAAAAAATCGGGACAGCCGACACGGCGATTTGTTCGTTGTTTGGCGATTGTTGGTGAGAAAGACATCCCACCAGCGATTGCTTTGCAATTTTGTTGATCAAAGTTTCTTGAACAAAGCCTGAGACATGTCAAGCGATCGTAACCAGTAGCAGGGCCGCTGCGACGGTGCAACTGTGCTTTTAGTCGCAGAGTGGCAAAAATCGCAACGATTTGGGGAAACAATTGCAGCACGTGAAACAGGCTTACTTCTAAGAAGCTTTCCTGTCTACGTGCTCTGATTGGGATTGAAACTACAAGCGCGAGCGCACGCTGTGGAGGAGGACGCCTGAAGTCCTAGCTGTACTGCGTGCATTCATGTGCTCACGAGCTCGGCAGGTACGTTAAGGGGCACGGAGCTCAGAACTGGGAACTGGGTCCTCAGTGTCATTCCGTGAAACGGGGGCGTTCGCTAGAACGTTAATCGATCAAGTGAATGCCTCCCCATGTATGTACTGGCCCCACCAATGAACCAAGAGTTAACTCTTGGTTCATTGGTGTGGCCAGTGTGTACAATGTACACACTGGCCACACCAATGTGTGGCCAGTGTGTACTTGTACCAATGTGCGAGGTGTGTACAATTGCTTGTACACACCTCGCTAGGCCTACTCTCTAACGGCGCCAGCAATTCTACCTTGATTGTGTTTAACTCACGCGGTTCGTGACTTAATTTATTTTCCAAACAAGGACCGGAAAGCTGCAGAGCCATATGATGTACTGTGTACAGGTGTGTTACAAAGCCACCTGTGCATTTCCCGTGGCTGGCCGATTTGCCTTTCAGCTTTTTCCGTGTGAGGTTCAGATAGATCGATAGATATTTATTTATACGTTAAGGTACACGCTGTTGCAATCATCAGTTCGTCGAGAAATATTCGTTAGTCTTCGAGGCATTTCACGTGATGAAAGGTTGTCGGGGAAACGTGCTTCGATAAAACGTTTGTCGATGAAACGACACTCCGAAGCGTTTACGCTATAAAGTACAGAAACAGAAGGACGACCACTCCTCTGTCGTTCAGGTTCTGTTCCTACCTCCGAGGTGGAAACTACAGGGTGCAAACTACAGCAAACTACTCTTTTTTTTCTTCCTTTCTGCACACTGCAGAACGGCGGAGCAAAGAATCACTTCGAATAGTTTAAACGCGTACTGACAGACACCTGGCATTTCTAATCTATACATTTTAAGCGGCTACAACAGTTGACATTTTTAATATGCTCTAAGAGAGCGAAAAAAAGAAATTAGCAATATATTGCCATTTTTGTGTTAAAGGAGAGCGCACGATGCTCTAAAAAAAAGTTACCGTCTGCCAACACTGGTGTCAAACATTCTTGTCTAACCGTCCAACGATCCAATCCAATCCAGGAGTGTTTTTGTTTGCACGTGTGTACCTTGTCTTTTGTCAATTTATCATCTTTCATCTCGGTCATTCTTGGCGGAACTTGCTGTTTGCAAAAATGAGCCACCTTTTAGTTAGATGGGTAAATACCGGAAGGACTCGCGTGTATGATGTAGTTAGCCTAAGGGACTTGGTAGATACTAAAATAGGCGCATTAATTTTGCAAAATTCGAGGGATTCGAATATATTCAACAAAGAAGTACAAGTCAGGTGGGAGGGAGAAAAACACCCAGCGAGGATCGTGACTATCGGTAAGTTCGCTCCGTTTCTTTACTAAATTAAGTTGTAATCCTCATAATTTGTTAGCCTTCAATTTCATTTTTTTTCTCTTTGAACAGGTAGCCCCGCGCAGATGGAAAAGAAATGCAAGCTAATGATCAAAGGAGCTTGCAATGGAGCCGGTGACCAGGTAGTACGATGCACGTCACTCATATCCGTCAGATATTTGCTTTGATGTTAACGGGTTCCGAGTCCCACCAGAAAGAGAGAGGGACGGAGGATATAAGCGCGGCTTCCTAATTTAAATGTTGTCTAAACAAAACAAAAAAAACAGAAAAAAAATTAAATCAACAAGAATAGCGTTTCTTTTTTTCAAGATGCAACTATCATTTTGTAACTTCAGCACTGGTAATTTCAGTTTCAATTACCCCAGGTCGAGAACTATACTTCATTTCAGCTTAAGTCCAGATGCAGCCGATGCTACAAGCGCAAGCTCCTGGCTTTCAGCGTCGCTGCCAAGCATGCGCGCTTGTCCTGTACAAGCACTGTTCAGGGCCACATGCTCGTGATTGTAGCTTTGGCTGCTTCTGGGCTTAAGCTGAAACGAAGTATAGGGAAGGTCTGTGGCTGTAACGAACCATACAAAAATTCCCAGTGTGCACAGTGCTATTCTTGGGTACTATCAGGTTCGAATGAACTACAAACAGCAGAGTGTGTGGCCAATGATACATGCTGCACCTCCTGTAGGCTTCTGTAGACTGATAAGACAGGTAAAACTGCGTGTTGGAGGGTAGGGCGCTGCATTGGTGGGCTCCCCACTCCAATGGGTTTGACCCTTACTCAGCACAACCCAAGCTTCAATGCTGTGCCGGTGATGCGCTGGAACTTCCGTCATAGCTTAGAGGTCGCTGCCAGCGTAGAACTGCCTGCTTGAATCGTTCGTCAGGCCGAACAAGTGTCAGCCACCCTGAGCAGTCGGGAAAACGAATGGGCCCGTGTTTCCTTGCGGTGGACTTCCTGGGTGGCGAGGTCTATGGCCGTCTTTCCAAGAAGCCATTCTGCACAGAACAAAGTGTTGAAACAACACGAAACGAACAAATACTCTGCCGCAGATTGTGGTAGTGGCCATAGCCTCCACTGCAAAATTGCTTGCCGACGGGTTCGTGTACCGTGCGGTTAACTCGGCGAGTCTGCATCCCGGAGCTCGCTCCTGGGTCGCCAGGAACGGGATTTCCTGTGTCCTGCCACAACCTCATGTTAATCATCTTCCCCATTGTGACGGTAGTATCCCTTCAAGTCAGCGATGCGAACCGGGCCAGACTCCTCGTTTGAATCTCGCCGAGTAAGTCTAGAAGTAAGACACGACGCTCGCGTCTTTACCGCATTCGGGCCCCCTCAACTCGTAACTAGCGATGCGGCAAAACCACTAGCTGCCTTGCTCAGAGGGTGAGTTTCCTTCAGGACTAGGTAATGATGGTGTAAACCAAGTCCATCTGTTGCACAAGCGAAGGAATCCAAAGCCCGAGGTGGGATTGCCATATACCCTACCTGCAGTGGCGTCACAAGGGGGGGGGGGGGGGGGGGGGGCGGGCGGACCACCCCGGGTGCCGCGCTCGGGGGTGTCGCGGCGGGCCACGCGAGAGCGGAGGGGGGGAGTCGCGGCGGGCTACCGCCCCGCGTGCTGCTGACCCTCGTGACGCCACTGCCTACCTGCACTCCACAACGGCCGCGTATACCGCGTGCGACTCGATGTAAGCATCTGCGTCTGATATCTATCGCGGTCAAGCGAGACGAAGACGAGGCTCAAGAAGAGCACGTGCGCACCCGTCTGGTCACACTCCGATTCCAAAACGCCATGAGCAATGGCTCGCTTCTTTCCGACTTGAACTGTACATAGTGTAAATAAACGCAGATTTAAAATACAAAACGCCATTGCTCATGGCGTTTTCGAATCGGAGTGTGACCGCTATCGCGGGTGCGCGAATGCTCTTTTCGAGCCTCGTCTTCGTCTTGCTTGACCGCGATATATGTCAGTGTCCCATTCCTTCTCCGTGCAACGAGCTCTAGGAACTGATCGGTCCTTGGAGGGGGCGGCAGCTCAGCAAGCAAGCCCGCTTGAACCGTTTGCGCCTCAAGGCAAGCTGGACAGCTACAAGCCCACCTAAATGTCTACCGCCTCATCCCTGACAAGGTCATGGCGCGACATAACTAATGAAAAGTCTTGCTGTCACTGCCACGACCGGCCAGAGTGAAGTCAGAAAAGTATTCTATAAATCTCCTTCTTAGCTTTTTAGGAACGACCCACCTGAAGGGAGAAGTGTTCCTCTGCCCATCGTTGATTGTTGGGATGACGCGAAGCAAAAAGCCGTCTTGGCCCAGCAAATACAAATTGTAGTACTCATTAATTCGCCTGCCAGCTTTTCCGGTGTCAACTGCTTCTGCTACGAGTTCTGGCTGTTTCCCCTCCTGCCAGTCGTTATCCTGTCTTCCAGCAAACATGCGGTGCCACTCCTCTGCCTCCGAAGACAACTTTCTTACATCTTACCAATGCTCCTCGCCACCACCCCGGTTGTATCACCTCCTCCCAACCACTATTTTGGGGTGCTGGAGAGAGTGCGTCCTCAACCTCGTTTTTCGTGTCCTTTCGGTTTTGACACGAGGAGACACCTGCTGAGCTCTCCTGTGTGACAAGTTGCCAAAATTCCAACAGACTTTGTCTAACGGGCATCGTTAGCGTTAGTGGACAACCCGCTCAACGAATCCGTGGGACTTCCTGAAGACGACTAGAAGCAGAGACATACCGACTGGGCCCCACATTGGATGCGCCAGTTGTAGTCTTCTTTTTGTGATCTCGCTCTATAAGAATCGCTCCCTATCGGTATTCACTTCGTTCATCTCCCAGGGACTGACACGAGACAATGAGATGACAGCGAATGGGTTTACTGTACTTCCTTATTGCCCATCGTTCAGAGCCGGCAGTCCGGGTCCGTTGACCCTTGTTGTTGCCCTTAGTTCAGAGCTCGCAGTCGGAGTACGTGTCCAGGCCTGCGAATCGTCTTTCCCACGCCAGGGCTGGATTGACCAGCTGTTCTGGGCTATCATGGCCCGAGTCTCACCGCGCCGCTGTGAACACACCGGGATCGTCATGGCCCAGGTTGGTATGGCCAGGGCTCGCCGTTCCCACCGGTCCTAGTCGGAACCTCGCTTGTGGACCGCTCCGGGGTTGCCATGGGGCAGACCAGCCAGACCGGCCCCGTCATTCCTGCCCTGCCCTGCCCCAGCCTCGATCGGCACGCTCTGTCTGGCGCCTGCTCGTGTCTTCTCGGCCGACCGCCTGTCACGTGCCCTCCACCCCGTCTTCCACGCTAGTCTCCTACAACGTGTGTGTTTGTGGAGCATGACCGCAGCGTCCTGCTCTCTCGTAACTTGTGCAGTACATTTTTTTGCTGTAATGTGCGTTGTGATTTCCTTGTGAACAGTATAGCAAAAACTGTACAACACTTGAGGCAGGAGAACAAGAGGGAACCTAACATGGCTGTTGACATCTAAATGAAGTCAATTACTTGGCAAACTTTTATATATCGGCTCCCAGCGTGTGGCGCTGGTATTGGAAAAATTCAGGTACACCAGCTTCTGCATTCACAAAACGTTTTAGCAAAGTTCAGTAACGTTATCATTGACAAGTCACATTTTGCTGGCAGTTTGTTTGTGCAGCGAAGACCTGGGGAGCTTGATTAACAGCAGTTATTACAACCATGCAGATGTCCTTGTGAAGGACTGCGAGTGCATGGCTGCTGCAAAATAGTGAAACAGCGTGGATGGAAAATAGCATGTATATTGCCAGAGAGCCTCTGTACAAAAAAAAAATAATGAACAGATAGCGAACACAAATGCTGCAATCGACAAAAGCAAATGCCTCAACCCCACTGTGTAAGAAAAAAAAAATTCTGCACAAGTTCGGAGGGAGCATAATGCTGCAATCATGTTCCGCTGACACTCGCGCGCAGCAAGCAGCTTGCTCCTGCTGCAAGCAGCAAGCTTCGTAGCGTGGCTCGTGCCGAGCCAAGGAGAGGGGCTGAGCAGCGTCGAAGCTTGGGTAGTGCTGGGCGAGGGTCAAACACACTGGATTACGACGCACCCCCTTGCACCGTGCTGCTCTCCACCCCACAGTTTTATCAGTTTCCAAAGGCCTCCAGGAGGTGCCGCATGTGTTGACGGCCATGCAACTCCGCTGTTTGCTTTTCATTCGAACCCGATAGTACCTGCATGTCATTCTGGACGTATGCTTGAATTCCCCAAAGTGAACATTCTATATACGTAAGCAAAATAATGTGCTTTTTAATTTGCTGTGGTTGCTCCACATCAAGATTTATGGTTAAAAAGACAGAAGGGCGGGCTAGCGAATCAGCGGGGCAAATTAATTTTTGGAACAATTTATCTGTAGGGTGTATTCAGGTGCGGTTTAGGAGAGGTGTGTTCTGGGAACCGCACCATCTTTGTGTCTGCGATGGCAGACAGCTACGCCGCCGTGCAGCCCCACTGTTTGGCGATTCTTCCTGTGACACCCCGCACGAGCGATGGACGCTCTACGCAGCTGCGGTGCATATTCGCAACTCCAGTGCGCCGCTCGCTCTCCCGCGGACGAACGGAGAACCAGAGGAGCGGGGACGGCAGCGGTGGTGGCGGCGCGGAAATGGTGGCAGGGACTGTCGGCCTTGATGCGTGAAGCCCTTTTAACGAAAATAGTGAGCGCGTTGAAAAAGGTATTCTCGTGCTCCGCCTTGCAACAGCCTTGCACGAAGGACCGGGATGTCTAATTTCATTAGGGACCTTTCGTGTATCGCATACGCTGCGGATTTCTGGTCTTGTGCATGGCCGCCAGCTCAGTCTGTGTTCAGCGTGACGGAAAACGCTACCGCTAATAATGAAGAACTTTATAGTAAGGTATATGAATAGTCTATTCTTTGCCATAAGTAGGAGAAAACTCGTCGCGCAACGGTATATCGATCAATACACATCGGGAATGGGTTTGCATTTTAAGACCGTTACAAGGAACATGACCATTTATTCCAAGCACTTTAAAAAGACAGAATACCTGTACTTGCTTTCAGGTAATTACAAAGCAAATAAAGAAATGCTCGAAGAATTTCAAGCGCGTCTGTGTTGGCCAGCCGTTTGTGAGGAGAGCTTAGAACGCGCAGTTTTGGGCAGAGGGCCCGCAATGTTGCAAATAACACGGTACGAAAAATGTATGGTATATTAAAATATTTATTTTTGATAGAGCAATAAATAAAACCCCTAAACACGCCGATTATGTTAATAGGCATTTTTTGCATAGCGTACAACACCCCTAAACTTCAGTTGGACGTACAGCGCACTGACGTTCAACCGGTGCTACCAACTTTCACAAGCGGCTTAATGGCGAGTTGTGCAACTTATTAAAATAGCTTAAGTAAGTGTAAATGACCATAAAAAAAATGTAATCAGGTTTTTCAGGCTTTACTGCAAAACCTCAATGTCTTTTTTTTTTTTTGGTACTCTTTGATGCATACTTTACCTGTTTAATATCATATTGCGCCGCCATAAAGCCTCTCGTAAAAGTTGGGGCCGTCAGTTTGACGTCGGAGGTCTGCACGGCGAACTGAAGTTTTGGAATGTGGTATATATAACAAGAAGTGTACGGACTACAACATTTTTTTTTTTAGAGTGATAAGCACGGCAACGCTTTTGGCGTGCACTGAAAATTGTGCTTTAAAGACGCAGCGCGAGCTTACGGTTGTAATGCTACACCGCACGTAACAAGCTTTCTATCAATAACAATAGAGCAGTTTGATTACGTGTTGCAATACACAAAAACAGGGACGGTGAGTTGCGAGTTGTGAGGCTGTGACGCGAAGACACCAATGCTGTGAACGCTGCTCTTCCGAAGCTTGACGGTCACCGTGCACGGCTCTCTTTTTAGAGCACTAATTGCCAGGCAAAGCGCAAACATATCTTCATCACCCTCAAAAATATTCGGCCAGAAACAGTAACGTGGCCAGTGCTAAAATGCGCTCGCTCACCTCAAAGCTTCGCAATTTGAAGTTTCTGCAACTTCTAAATAACAGCTTGCTCCTTTTCCTAACGTGCATCGGCATCTCCGTCACCCTGACCGCTTCCCTAACCGCTTTGCATTTGTGGACAAATGGGTAAATTTTAGCGCGCTGAACAGCGTCGGCGATCAGGCGCACGGGATATCCTGGAAAATCTATCCCCGTCTTTCCGCCATCTTGGAACTACCGCCTCGCCACCTATAGGGCGTTGGAGTTGCGAATAGTTGTATAGTTGCGGCAACATGACAATGTTGTTTTCGGTAAGAAGTCCTTCACCGCTGGGCCCTTAAGGTGGACAGCAGACTGGAATGCAGACACTACGAGTAGATGGATCTGCAGCATCAATCCGTCTGGTAAACCGCCGAAATATCTCGTCTAAGACAGCAAGCTGCGGCCGCAGGTGAAAATGACTGACACCCAAATTTACCTGAATGTAAGGACAGGTTTTGTCCCGTGCCTGCAATTCTTTTAAACGGTCGTAACCTCTAGTGGATGGGTTCAGGAGTTGTCAGTGAAAGCAGTGAGTGCGGAGAGCGCAATCGTCGTCTCGCAGGGGAGGTGGACTTCTGATGATTTACTTCTAGAATGTGAATGCTTCTCTGATATGTCCAACTACAGAGTGTGCTCTGTTTTCTGTTTTTGGGCCTGCATCGTAGTTTGCTTTTGGCAGGCATTAATTGTATTTCACATGCTTCAACAGCGGGCTAGGCCTGTCTTGCTAGTCAAGTTCAGTCGTGATTAAGGATAACTAAGATACCTGTATGCAAGCTTGTTACCGGAGGAGCAGTAGCAAACCAGCATGGAGATGATCCCATTCATAAGCATGTTTTCTTTTGAGTCATAGCAATCTCCAAGCTCTCTTTGGCTGGCGGTGATAAAAACAGCTGCATGACATATTCCACGAGGAGTTGAGTGTATCATGCTACTCAGTGCTGCACGGTTCTTAGAGAGGAACTAAAGTGTGTTTTGAGATCCTCGTTTTAAGGTCATAACTCAATCTTCGAGCTCTGAGCATCCTAAAAAACCCGAAATTACATTCATGCGTGGCCAATTTGCATATTAAAAAGTAATAAAAGTTTGCAACACTTACCGTTGCTGCAGAATGACAGATGGCGCTACTGAACCTTCTTGTACATAGTCGACCGGCGCTCGTCAGCCACTTGCAAGCGACAAGTTGACGAGTGGCCGACCAGTCCCGCTCGTCCACGCGGGAACCCATCGCTTGCGAGTGACCGACGTGCGCCGTTTGTCGTTCGACCATATTTAGCAAGGTTCGGTAGCGCCATCTGTCATTCTGTGCCAACGGTAAGTGTCGGGACCTTTTACCGCTTTTTTAATATGCAAATTGACCGCGCATGAATGTAATTTCGAGTTTCTTAGGCTGCTTAGAGCTCATAGATTGAGTTATGACCATAAAAAGAGAATCTCAAAATGCACTTTAGTGCCCCATAAAGGGAACGATTAACCTTCTAAAAGTAAGTCGAGCAAAGATGTGCACATATTCCAGAGTCGGGGGGGCACCATAAGCCTGCCTCACCTGCGAGACTACAGTCGCGCACCCTGCATTCACTGCTTTCATTGACTCCTGGACCCGTCCACTTGTGGTTACAGGCATTTAAAGGGCTTGCTTGCGAGCGACAAAATTTGTCCTTGGGGTGACGTAAACCTGGATGTCTGTCATTTTCACTCACGGCTGCGGCTTGCTGTCTAGGATGAGATCTTTTGGCGGTGGACCGAACGAATCCACACCACAGATTTCAACCTTTTCCTCGTAGCGTCCGTATTCCCATTCACTGTCCGCCATAAGAGCCCAAGAGTAAAGAACCGCTTACCGAAAACAACACTGTTATAGTGCCGCAGCTATACACTGCACCGTAACACTGCAGCTGTGTAGAGCGTCCGTTCCTTGTGCGGGGTCTCACCGGATGAACTGCTGGGCGGTGTGGGCTATCGCATACACACAGATGGTGCTGCTCCCAGAATGCACTACTTCTAAGCCGCGCGTGAGACACCTTATGTGAAGATTATTTTTTATTTTTTCAGGTGGATTATTGTGAGAACTGTGCTGCACTAGAGCAAGAGAAGAAATCCCTCAAGAGTGACATCGATCACCTCCAGGAGGAAAATGCGAGACTAAAAGCCATTGTGGACTATGTGACTTCACAAAGAGATGTAGTTGATGGTAAGTAAGGCTCTGCTTGCGCAAGTTAACTCGAGCCGGACACCTGCTAACGTGGGATATTTTACATGTAGTGACTACAGGGCAATGTGAACAATGGCTATGTTTAATCTATGTTAATCGGAAAAGGGCGGGAATTAAAACCTGACAGAAGCTTTCCTCTGGTGCCACGAGTTCCTCAAGTCGGATACCATTCTAATTCTTTGTGGTGTTGCAGTAAACAACCAGGCATGCAGCAGACATTTGGTGTACAGGGGCCAACCAATTGATACTTTACGCTCATGTTACAAGTGAAAAAGAAAAAAAAAAGAAAAAAACTAACCATCGGAGCATAAAAATGTATGCTTTTTGTGTGAGGTGCACAAGATTATTAGGTGCCGTAGAACACCAGCCCCTTGCTCTAGATCCTTTTTGACCTCTTTTTGTTAACTTTTTGCCCTTTCAAAATGCATTGCAAGAGGACCTAACCATGCACCCAATCTTCAAACACTGTCGTGACCTTCTGCTATAGTCACCGTCACCATGGCAATGGATCGCTACTTGAATGGACGCATGCTGGCACTATTTTCCCAGCTATTCTTTGGCCGAAATCACCGCTTGTCAACTTTGGTTGCTGGTTTGCCTTGCTTGGAGAATCTGGTGGCCATGGTTCATTCTATAGACCAATATGTGGCTCTGATGTCATGCCTCTGCGGTGGTGCTGTTGTCGCCACGGCACATGCACAGAAGCTTCAGCTCACGCGAATCTGGTTTCTGCGCTCGCACAGTGCCCACACCTGGTCTGTGCAAATGCGGGCTTGTATGTAAACAGTGTGTCGGTCTATAAGCATGGCTTTCTGACAGGCTGCGCTACGCTCGGTTGCCCCCTGCTTTGCTACGCTCTACTCGGGGAGTCTAATATAATCACAGCCTTGAGCTTGTGTCTAGCCTCGTCAAAACCGCCAAAGGTCCGGAGCTAGGCTACTGTATGAAGTGAAAACTAAGAGAGAACGCTGGCAGCCGATTTGATTGCTTCCATCCGAGGCAACCGCCGTCTGCTATAATCACCACTTCGTTTTCCTCAGACGGTGGTCGAACAAAGGGTGTTAAGGCGCTGTTATATTTTGACGTATGGCGCGCGCAAGCGAGCACTGTCTAAAGTCTGTTCCATCATGCTGGTTGCACCGTGCAAGCCAGAAACCTCTTCTGTCTACACTCCAACTTTTCCTATGGCGCGTTGCTACCAGGCGCATGCGCATGCTACCTCGAGCGTCCACATTTTTTGTTCCTACGAAGCGCCGGTGTCTGGCCTTTGGCGAGCGCGCAGACAATGCATGCTGGGAGGTTGATCCTGTGGTTTTGGCGCGGCCGGCGCGAGATGGCTCCACTCGCATTCCGTGCCGGCGTCGCCCATGCACGCCGAATGCTGCCAGTCGTGTCGGCTGCGTCAAGGCTTTGGACTCTGGAGTGGCTGGCTTTCACCAACGCAACGTCCCCATGCCGCATGCGCTGCCCCGTCTGTTTTGTTGGAGTATAACAGTGCCTTTAATGGTTGGAGGCTTTGGACGCTTGGCTCCTGCGTGCATACATTTGGCAAACTCCTTGTTGCCATGATGATGGTAGCCTAGCAGAATACTTTATAGTGAGGAAGAGTACGGTGTTATTCTGGGATCCGGGGCACTCTCAGGCTGCTTCTTGGGCCGAGAACTAAATTTCTTTAATGCCTATTATTTTAATGGGCCTTACACGAAAAACCGGTTTTTAGTTGTGTTTAATATGGTGTTTTGAGAACTTGGTAAAGTATCGGTGTGTTAAGGGACGGCGGTCTGAGTTTGTACAGGGGAGCGCTGACTAGAGCACTAAAAATCCCACATGCAGTGCTTGTGGCATCATAAGCTGTCTGGATCGAAGTTGCAACGAACCACTATTATTTCTTCAATTTTGGGGGTGGCTAGGTGTCAGGTGCCATCAGGACACCTGTGCAACAGGTCTAGGACGAGTTACCCTAAACAAAATAAACCAAAAAATGGTTTGGGGGCTTTGCTTTCCTGGAGAGGCAAGCACAAATACAAGTCAGTGCTAAGGTAGTGAAGGACGGTCAACCAGAGTAAGGCAGCAGTGCACCAACAAAATCTGTTAGCCCAAGATGCACTGTAAGTGTGCGGCTTATTGATGCTGCAAATCTCCCCTTGCATCTGCGTAAAATCGTGGCCGGTAATCCTCATCTTGCTCCCAATGGCCTATCGTGCCAGGGATGGCCCACGTGGGATTGTTATCGCTTCGGCCAGCTTGTTTAAGGGGCCCTGCAAGGACGTTTTTACTGGTTTTTAATTTGCACCGAACCTGAGCGCACTGAACGGAGTAACTTAATGAAACTTTTTTTTTTCTCGAATTTCGCTTTATTTGAAAAGATATAGGCGAAGTAAAATGACAAAAACAAGCAAAAAATAACCACCTTCATGACGTCCTTGGTTGCTTGAGTGGCTGTGAACTAGAGGATGGGCTGAGTGAGCTCAGCGAGCGCTCACGGCTGCCGCACTCCGTGTCGACGGCGCGAGAGGGCGCTACTAAAGCATGTTCTGGATAGACTGTACGCAGCAGTGGGCAGCCAGAGTAGCTTTCATTACATTTGCTGCGCAATTAAAAAATAATTCGGCATGACACTTCATTGGCCACAAACGACGGCAAACACGGGGTGAAGGTCAGTTCAGAATGGGAGACACTTCGCTCTGCCATACCGCGAAACGGCCAAACCGCAAGACAAAGCTGCTCGCCGAAGGCATTCGGAGCACTCAAAGCCGGTCGGATCCTCCAGTCCATACAACCGCAGCACCGCCGTGTACATCCGGGACTTTTCCGTGTCGGTGCCTGATCCCACTACTCCTTTCTAGTATGCGCCTCCTTTTCCACCGCTTGGTGGCGGGTATGCTGTCGGGTCATTTCTTGTTTCCGTACTTTATAAACTGCTCTTGTTTCTTTCCTGATCTAAAATACTGAACAAAAACTACTTTTATAAGTAAATCAAATAATTTGCGCCACTTATATTTTGTATTTCGACTAAAAAGAAGCTTTTAGCGGCTCTGACCAGTAGTAAGCCCAGCACCAAAGACGTCACATATCGCGTGCTTCCGGTACCGCGGGTCGCCCCCGTTGGTGGAGGAGGTGTTTCCGTGTCGTCCGGTTAAAACATGATGCACTGATATTTAGTTACTCTGTCCGTGCCCGCTGACTTGCCCAAACCCCAAGAGACGTGGAAACCGCAAAAAAGGTAGACGCTTAAATGTGATTGCAGGGCCCCTTTAAGCTGTACTAGCTCATTGTGTCCTCGCTATAAGTCCCCGCCCTTAAAAAGCCTCTGACACGGGAAAAAAAATGTTTTACATGCTAGGTGCTAAATTGTGTGTCAGAACATCCCCGAACATTTGTGTCACTCTAGAGTTGTGCAGTTCTTATTTTTCTTATTATGAAAATATGAAGTCCAATTCAAAACGCCCGCCAGTTCAGTGTGACCTAACATTGCACCACAAAATGTCGGGGCGGTCAGAAGGAAGGAATCGACCGACGTCACTAAAAGTGGGTTCGCCGGAAGTCACGCGAGTTTCACTTCACATGTCCTCCGCGACCGCACCAAAGACTTTAGTTTTATTTTTGTTATTTTGGTCTTCTCCACGAGCGATTGTAGAAAAGAAAGATTCAGTTAAACTGGCGGGCACTTTGATTAGAACTTCATATTTCTGGTTTCTATGGAAAAACTGCACGACTCTAGAGAAACTATTTTTTGGTGATGTCTGATACACCATTCTAATGCCTAGCATGAAAAATGTTTTTTTTCTTTTACATGTCCGTTTTTTTGTAGGAGTCATAAAACTATTTTTTTTTACTTTCACTAAACACCACATAGAATTGCTCTCTAACATAATTAACTCAATAAACATGCCTTAGTTTTTTATTCTAGCCAATAGCTATTTCCAAAAAGAAATTGAGAAATATAAGCATCTTTAATTCCCTTAACTTGAAGCCAGAAAAAGCGGCCACGGGGCCTGATGCCTATCTTATGCAGCCAACATTAATCATAGCCACGCGCTGAGGCTGGCAAAGTAGAGGACGCGTGCTATGCTCCAGGCATTGTTAGAGTTCGGCTATTCTTGTCACCGCAGTCATTGGGCATAAACCACTACCCGATTGTTCGCAGAGGCATTGATTCTTGCAAGCCGAAGTCAAGTTCTCGCGCAGTGCTCGTTCCAATCTATAAGCCGCACTCGACTGTCGTCAGGATGGTGATTTTGCTCCTACAATTACATGTCAAGCTTTGCAAAGGCAAGACTGAAAGAAATAGTCTTCTTCTATCTTTGCAATTTCACCACAACAAAGAAGCTTTCGAATGAGTGGCAGTTTGTACGAGTATACTTGGGCCAGACTAGGACCAGTATGCCTCTGCAACGTCATGAACATTCCAACCCGATATTGTTTCATGATGCCTTTAAAGAACTCCGCAAATTTTTCATATTCACAGATGTGCTTCGAACTCGGCTCAGGACATCAATAGACACAGCTGAATTTGTAGACCGAATATAATGTTGAACACAGCTGAATTAGTAACCCAAATTTTATGTCAAAATGCCACTTTGTTGCAATGTCATTGAATCTCCTAATGTGGTCGTCACCCATTTTTCAGACTGAAAATCTCTACTGACTACATTAAAAAAATGACGTTGGCTATGGAAACAGTGTCACAGTTTGGGCTGTGGAATTTGTTTCCAGCTGGGTACCAAGAAGTTTGGTGGTGTGAAATTAATGCCGAAGACGACGCTTTCTCCAGCATACAAAGATGACACTCTCTGCCTGTGACGTCATGCCATTGGAAAGTGCGGTAAAATTTAAAGTTGGTTTTGGCATTGCACTTTTCTTAATAACTAATATTGATTTTGAGATGATATATACTTCGCTTGAGATAATATATAATTTGCTGCAAAGAGTGAAGCACAAGTATTCATAAAAAGCAGCTGTCTGGATAGCTAAAACATTGTCATAGTTCCCTTTTAAAAACCATTGCATCTTGTGCACCTTACAAAATTCGAATTCCGAACGTGCATACTTGAAATTGGGCATGCAATGTCATTTTACATCTGCTCACTTGTGCGGTCACTCATAGGTGGTGTGCTTATTGCAAAAATTCTGGAAACACGACAGAGCAGGCCACGGGGAGCAGTACTGCTGCCGCAAAGATGAGCTTTGATAGGAAATAAAAACAGATGTCCAAGCCAATTTGCACTTTGGAATGCCATTAAATGCAGCCCATGGCTTACATCTTTCTAAAATGGGACAGTCAGCCACTTATTGATTGAAACCACATCTTTAGGCATAATAATTAAAATTGCTATATATTAGTTAACAATTAACTTAGCTGGATATTATTAATTTTCCTAAATGGACCTTTTGCGAGTGACCAATGAGACACTAACATTTCTTTGTGTGCCACATAGTTTTCATAGGAATTATTTATCCAGCATTCCATGAAACGGCCATATACCGTAAAGACCTGAGAGATGCCCCACCCTCGAAAGATAGCCCATCCCTATTTTTGGTTTGATTTGCTATTTTCTTTTTAAACACCGAAACATAGCCCACTCCTAGTAATAGTAGTGTTGGGATCAATGATGGCCGCAGCGTAAATGCGGCTAGTTAGCTATGGCGGGATATAAGCAAACATTGCTGACTGGGGAGTACAGTCACCTTTGCTTTGTTGCCCCTCGCCACCGTAACAAGCTTGGAAGGGACACGACCTAAAAATAGCAATTTTTTATACTTTTCTTCATTGCACACCAAAAGTTAGCCCACACCATGTTTTCACCCGATTTTCTCTTCATGTTAGGTAGGCTATCTCGGGATTTTACAGTAGTTTGATGGTGTCACTTTCGTTTCAATGTCTGTCGTGAAATTTCATACAGATAATACATAACTTGTATTAAAGCAAGGCACTTAAGTGCAAACAGCATTGTGTTGCAAGTACCAGCATTTCTGTAATATGCTGCTATTGCCTTTTATTTGTGTATGATTTATTTATTTTCTGATGTCCCAGAACTGACGATTGCGGTCCAGGACCTAAAGAACCTTCGTGAAGAGATGGAGGACGCTCGGGTGCAGAGAGCGCCTGAAAACCCTGGAGCCCAGGCAGAGGTATGTGAAAGTTCTTGAATATTTGGTGCAGAAATGTTATTGATAATGGACCCCTTGCAAAAACTGTAAAATGTGGTGCGTGAGGCACTGTGACACACCTGTTTGCCTCCTCCCTTGCTCCCGCTCCCCCTGGCACAGGAAAGAGCTACTGTTTCAAAATGGGTTTCGTTTTGAACGGCTTCTCTGAATATTTTCTCCAAATGTACTTCTGTTGTGCCATGTTAATTACTTGTTTTGAAGTGGTGGGAAAGCAATTTTTTTTGGCAGGTCAGATTACGAAGTTCAGTGTAGACATTCTCAACGAAACTGATGGAAATGGTAAAGTGTCCATCAGTTTTGTTGGGAATGTACCTCCCCCCCCCCCCATTTTAATTTTAAAGGAAAAAGTATATTTGCTACATTTTACAGTCTCTTATCCAGGTTTGTATGAATGCCGAGCGAGCTCTGCATTTATACATGGTTGTTGTCGCAGCAAATGCCAGCTTGTGTGCAAGAAAGATCCCGAGCTTCGCAACGTCTATAGTCCGTTGCAACTTAAGAACAAAGGGCGAGGGTAAGACGGGCTGGGGAGGAGGAAGCAGACAGAGCGCAAAGGAGAGAAGGAGGTTTCCCTCTCTCTTCTCCAGCGTTCCGTCTGCTTCCTCCTCCCCGGCCCATCTTATCCTCGCCCTTTGTTCTTAGGTTGCAACTGACTATAGATTCTGAGCACCCGCTCAACCAAATACTTTCAAATGCTAACAGAAATGGTAAAGTAGAAAAAAAGAATTTTAAAATCCTTTGGTGGATTCTTAGAGAATGCATTAGCATGACCCTTGGGAGACGCTAAGGCTGTCCCCTTCACTTTTCTGTATTGGCTTTCACTTTTGCTTCCTTTATTTTTTGCTGCACCTTTTTGGCTTCATTATGGGGCCAGCATTAGCATTTCCCAAAAGGGGATGTGTGTGGCGTTTCCCAAGGGTCATGCTAACACCTAAGGATCCGGCAATGGATCTTCCTTTGTTTTCTTTTGCTGTCCACTTGGACCAGCACTAGTACTTGGTTCACCCTCCATTTTGTAGCACAAAGCAAGGCATACGCGCTCCGCACACCTGCAACTTCAGACTCGCCCCAGCATCTTCCGCCCCGTGACGACGCCTCCCTCTCGCCTTTGTCCTTCACTACTCTTCTCCTCCTTATGCGGTGCTCTTTCCTTTCCTCTGTTTTGTCTACAGACGAACGCCATCAGCTTTTTCCTGTCATGTGGGTATTAATGCTAACGCAGTAATAAAGCATCTCCAGTGTATGGTGTAGGATTGCACTGGAGTGTGGAGATCTAGCCATTCATGCAATTTCAGAGGTAAAACATGGTCTGCCCAGGATGAAGGAACGTGAAATAATGCTTCGCTTAGTCCACGCTTTGCACACGATCTTGCAACATTTTTCTGGACGGGTCAATCAATGCCATGCCACTCGCTCTTTGGACAGCAAGTTTCCTGATTGCACTGTATGGATTGTTGCATGCCGGGATTTATGGAAGTGGTCGAAGGGACAATGATGTTGATGTTAGAATTAGCTTTAATAAGTGCTTTTTATCAACATATCAGACCTTGAGCGATGGAATTCACTCTGATTACTTACAGGGCAACGAAGACGAAGAAGATTTGGGGGGCATCAAGGTCAGCAGGGCTTTGCTGCTCCTTCTAGACATGGGTCCCACAAAATCACCAACAGTTTATGCCCGGGAGCTTCTAAGGTTGGTCTTCAGCTCGGAAGAGCTTGTCGGAAAATCAATCACGGGCAAGCAGTCCAACGCACACAAGGACAAGCCGGCCAAGCCACAGCTTGACCCAGTCCGGGTAAATGCTTTGATAAGTGAGTATGAATATCTGCAAGTTCTGTTATAGAAAGTGAGAGAATGCATTCAGCAAAATAAGTTTGAAAATTTTGGCTTGAATAAATCTTGAGGTTGAATCGAGAACAGTATACTCAATTGAAATCTCCTGCATACATTGAACACTGCAAAGGTGATTTCTTGATTTTTGTCTTCTCATGACTGCTACTTCTGCTAAATGAAACAGCTTTGACTGTTTTCTTGAGGGTCCACTTGAGCACTACATGTATGGAAAACCTGCATTTACTTTTAGATATTGCCAGCTGTCTAAATCGTGGCTCTGTTAGTTTGTGCCAACCAGGTCCCACCTGACCTTGCAGCAACCAAGCATGCACCCCTATTGTCTAAGCATCCTCTTCCTATTATGATCTTGAACTATGGTTCTGCTTTTGATTGAGCCCCAGCCATATTTTCGTTTAATTTAGATTTTCTGTGGAATAATTCTTTTTTTTGGGTGGGAAAGTGAGGGGGGGGGGGGGGGCGATAGGACATGATCTGTACTTTACGGTAGGCTGACTGGACATGTATTTAGGCGTAGAATTGCCTCATGTTTAGAAATTACTTTCAAGTGCATTGCATACTTCTGACCACACAGTTTCAAAAACCTTCACTACTGTATTATCCGAAGAGATGACCCATCCCCAAACAATAGCTCATCCTAATTTCTGGCATATTTTTTATGGCTAAAATTGAATTATCTTTTATACACTGGAAGTTAGCCTCACTCATTTTCATCTAGTATGCTCTGTTTTACTAGGTGAACTGTTTGATAATGCCATGATCATTTATTTAGAGATTATCAGCTCTTTCAAATTGAGCACTGCTTTATAGTCAGTGACTAGTTAAAAGTTCTCTGGCTGGGGAGGAGGAAGCAAACAGAAGAGAGGAGGAGGTTTCCTCCTCTCCCCAAGCATTTTGTTCGCTTCCTTTTCCCCTGCCCTCCTTTCCCTCTAAAACTTTTCTTAACCTGTAACTGACTATAGTATGACTGAGGTAAGTGTAGAATAGTTTTCTGTAAATATGGTACAAAATAACATGCATATTGTGGAGATTTTGTAAAGGTTTGACCTTTACAACAAACATTCACTGGCACTGGCTTGTGTGAGTTAAAAAAGTGCTGATGTCATGTTTATGTCAGATGTGCTGTGCAGTGGTTGGTCTTGAAGTGCCATTTTAAGTAACCGAAATTCGGGGGGGGGAAGGAAGGAGTGTGCTCAGTCTTTGTGAAATGACATATGCTGCACGTGGCTTCACCTCCGTCACTTAGCAAATAAGATGCCAGTGATGATCTTTAAAACTGGCAGACAGCACACTTGCTCAACAAATTTGTGTGTCTATCTGAACAGCCATGTTCTAGTCTAGTAGTCTGCAACACCAATAAATAGTGCTTGAATACTTCTTTTTCTGGATAGTTTCAAATGCTTTCTTTTATTCTATTTCTATTTTTAGTAACTAGTAACATTTATTTTTAGACAGCACTTGAAAGATACTATCAAAATTCCTGGCCGTAAAACTATCATATGGTTAAACCACTTGTGGGACTGATTTTATGAGACGGAAAACAGCCTCCATACGTCACTGACCGAGCCCATAACTAAATTGTCAACTGTTAAATAGAGCATTTTCCAATCTTTTAAAATTTATGCTCACAGGTAAATGTGTTTCTGAGATGCAAGTATTTTTGATATCTTCATGTCTGCGTTTGCAGGTTACACCTGCAAGAAGTTCAAGCTTCTCAAAGAAGGGCCAGTGAGGACGTCCTTGTCCTCGTTGCTAAACAAGGAGGCAAACAAGGAAAAACCTTGTGAATAAGTCTTTTTTTTATCCTGCAGTCCTTCGAATAAAGGTGACAAAAATATTACTTTTGTGTTTGTTTTTGTTACCTGGACGTTTCATATATAGCGTACCATAGAGAGGCGAACCAGCACAGGTTTTCAAAACGGGTTTGGAATACCAAAGCCTAAGGAAAAGGGGCAGCCAGCTAAGAGAACCTTAGGATGAGCCATACAAGACCATACACAAACTATACATGGTTAAAGAAACCAAAGAAAAATCCACAGGCAGCTATAGCTTGCTGGCTAAAGAGAGCCGTACAGTGAGCCATAAAAGATTCTTTAGAAGACCATACAAAAAGCAATAGACGGCTAAAGCAACCAAAGGAAAATCTATAGTCTGCTGGCTAAAGAAACCAAAGGAAAATCTATAGACAGCTATAGCCTGCCGCCTAAAGAAGCCAAAGAAAAATCTATAGCCTTCTGGCTAAAGAAACCAAAGGAATCCCTATAGACGTCTATAGCGCACCGGCTAAAGAAAGCCATAGAAAAATTCTTTAGCTAGCCATAGAAAAAGCTAAAGACTTTTATAGCCAACCATGTGATAAAGCCATAGGAAAAGCTAAAGACGCCCATAGGCAAGACCATAGAAAAAGCTAAAGACAGCCATAGAGAAAGCTAAAGCCGATTGGGCCAATTTTCTATAGCCGACCATAGAAAGGATTTTCTATAGCCGACCATAGGATATTTTTGTATGGGTACACCAGTTGTAGTCATGACTAACGTTTTTCACAGCTATATAAGAAATTTCGTTTTTTATAAATGTTAGTTGCGAGTGCGCCAATGTTCACGCCAAATTTTTGTCTGTATTTTTCCGGCGCTTATCTATGATCATGAAATTCGCAGCTTTCCCTGAATCGACACTGCCTATCTACGTCAGCTGAGAGGCAAATAAAATTCTAAGAGAATGACCACGGTGAACTTTACCTTCCAAGTCTGCCTGAGTGCTTCAGTCAATTGGCTTACGTTTAAAAACAGGTGACGCATTCAGATATAGATGTGATTATGCCTGCATGCTCGGCGATTGCGGTTCAGTTCCCTCAACCGCAATCCTCGTACAAAAACATGCACTGTAGCAACTGCGTGGTTGACACGCCAAAACCCAAACTAAAACCAAGACCAAAAAAAACAAAAAAACTAGTTTGTGCGCTAACACAGAGCCATTAGCACTGCCTGCCTCCCCCCTCCCTAGCTTTTCCTTCATTGCCAAAGAAAGTTGTGCCCAAGAAAAGATGGGCTGCATCTTTGTTCTAACTCGGAAGAATAAATTTAAGGCTTTATAACGAAAACAAGCAAATGCGTAAGCAACCATTTTTTAGGATGTTACTTTGTAATCAAAAACAGAAAAGAAAAAAGAAACAGACGTTTTCACGTGTTTGCACAGTCAACTAGCTTTGCAAATGGCAGCTATTCGTAATTCCGTGGTCAGACCAAGGGACCACCCGACCATGTACAACTTTGCTTTATTACCTACCCTATCCCCCAGCTCTCCATGATCATCCCCAATTTAGAGCTTGCTCGGTATATTATATTTTGTAACGGTGTTATTTGTTTAGAAAAACAAAATGTCAGATCAATACCAGTAGGGCTCTTCGGAAGCAGTGCATGGGCCCTGTTTCACCTCTTACAAAGCATCCTGTCTCGAATGGCAGCAGAGAAACGGGTGGGGCTGATTCGCCTGTAGGCCTTTGCTGAGTTGATGGCTACTACCCAGACCGGCAGCTGATCGGCAGCTTCCAGCCACCTGCAGTTTTTTCTTGATGATACAGACTTCCTGCAATATCATGAATACGAACAAGACTGACATTCTGAACAAAAAAGAAACCAAAACTTGCTTCACAGATCAACAAAATAACAAGTGCCAACATTACGCTTCTCTTGTTGTCGACAGTGCAAAGACCATGTTGGCACGACCATTAAACTCAACCAAATGAGGAAGATGAGCTTCATGACGTAATTGCATTAAGAACCAGGCACGTAGCCGTGGGGGGGGGGGGGGGGGGGGGGAGGAGGGAGCATGCCACCTTCCCCCCCTTGAAATCTTCCATTTTGCTGGGCCCTCCTCTTCCCCTCCCCCTAATACAGCACTTTGTCATAAGTGCCCTCTCCCCTCCCCCCCCCCCCCCTTCCCCGAAACAAAATCCTGGCTAAGTACCTGTTAAGAACAGTGTGCATGTAGAGGTTAGATACACCCTAAGAAATTCCGGGAAGCTAAAAACAAATTAAACACCACTTAGAAATAGCACAGCTCGCTTGATAGACACATGCACAGCAATCAACAGCCCTCTTAACGTGTTCCGCAGTGCAGGGATACAGATAAAAAACACCGGGGATGTGATCGAAATCCTTTGGGGCAGTGCAACGTGCAAGTTTATCCTGAAGCTACTGTTTGTGCACGCCCCTAAGAGGCGTTAAATCTGGTTCACACTGTAGCAACTGACGACCGAGTTGAATAAAACAGGGTTTTAAGCCGCTTACAACTGCCATTACTGCAGGACGGCGTGGTCATAAGCCGTCACAAGAGGCTTAAAGAGTGGTTTTGTCGGTGTCAGTCCGAGACGGTTGCAACAGTGTGGACCAGCTTTTAGACTAAAATTGTATCCACCTTTAGGTCTTTCCACAAATGTTTTAAGAGACTCCCTTCAACTTGACCAGAGCCTCAGGTTTTTAAAAGTTGTAGTAAGTAGGAAGCCATCAAATTCAAAACTGGATCTCCTTGATTTGTACGCGTTTTCGCAGTACATGTTAGAGCGCCTGCCAGATGTGTGAGTTTCGATTGCAATCTTTGTACCACTAAACGTTCTATACCAGATCAGAGCATTTTAATCAAATCATTCAATCTCTTTCCTCAGCCATGTAAACTATTTGTGCACCCACGAGTTCTACAAGTCCCGAATCTAGCCGGGGTAAATTAAAACGTCGCTGAGGCAAGCAATAATAATCTTTATTAGCGACAGTAGTACTCTGAGCGGCTCGCAAGGCTAGATATATGCAGGGGCGCGTGTGCGCGATCGCCTGCTAGCCAATGAACCAGAGCAAGATGATTAAAATAACGAACAGGCAACAAGGGAGAAAACAACAAGAACGATGAGATTAACAGGGTTCGGTCCACACTTTTAAGAAACTCTGGGCCCGCGCACCTCAAACCCAACGCCACGCACCGCAGGCTGGCGCGAGGCACACGCCGTACACGAGCACAACGACGACGCCCAGTTAGGAGCGTGCCCTATCAATCTGCGAAATGCCAGCGCCACACCAGGGGACCTATGTTGTACAAATGTTCCGTTTCTCCTAAAAGAAACGGAAGTAGCGACATGGCGGCTGATTGGTTGAGGCTCGAATGACGAAAGTTCCCTACGAAAATAGGGGCGGAGACGGCGAACCGCCCCCACCGGAAATGACTACACTTTGAATTATCATTTCCTCGGTGTTTCGTCTGAAAAGGAAACGAGTCTGTCGATGGTCTCTTCGAAGTAGCGAAATTGGAAACACGGCGTCTCGGAGGCAGAGCGACAGCCTTTTATCGTTCAACTTTATTTTTCCCTCCAGAAAAGCTCCACCGGCAGCACCGCGAGACCGCGAGGCCTTTTAACTACCGGAGGAAGCTTTTCGGAGGCAGTACGGTCTCACCAAGAATGTGGTCCGTTGATTGTGCGACGAACTGAGCGAGGAGCCAGAGTTGAGGCTGCGAGGTTCGTGGACGGTGATGTCTGTGGAACAGCAAGTGTTGTGCGCACTTCGCTTTTACGCCACGGGGAGCAAACTGTGCGGGGAGCTTTCAGGGGATGGTGGCGAGCGACGAACACATAGCGAGGAATCAGGCTACAGTCGGCATCGTTGTGCGGGCTGTGTCTCTCGCTATTGTGCAGCGTCTGGGGATCCGGCGCGGCTGGATCGACTTTCCCCAGACAACCGGCAAGAGGGACGACGTCAAGAGGGGCTTCCAACGCCTCGGCAGGATACCCGGCGTCATCGGTTGCGTCGACGGGATGGTGATCGCCATCGTCGGCACGTCATAGAACGACCTTACCGTCACGAAGGCGGCGTATTGGTGCCGCAAACAATCCTACGCTCTGAACGTGATGGGGGTATCTACGATCACCTATATACTACGTCTCACCTTAGCATGAACTAACTAAGAAGACTGTACAAGCGCGAACGGCTTGGCTGGAGCACTTGCTGCACGAGCGCTCGTGCAGCCGCCGGGGCTTTATCCAAAGCAGCTAGCTCGCGCCTTTAGCTATAGGTCAATGCCCGTTCTGAATGGGTTTGAAAAAGAGCGTAACGCTAATACTACAAATACGGTGTGGATATGCCATTTTATAAATGAGAGTTATGAATTGTTAGCGCTACGTCCGTGTCACTTCTTTGTCTGGTCCTCGTCTTTTCGCGCTATTTTTAATTCCGATGTTAGTACTCGTTCATCCTCCGCACAAGCGTTTGTTCGACGAAGGAAGGGAGGGTTTGTTAGCTGAAAAGCTGTCGACCTCTGTTTGTTTTCATGTCGTGTTAAGCTTTTAAGCATTAGTCCCTATCCTGCATGATAAAGTGTAAACTCTCCTTTGAAGAAAAAACAAATTTGCCTAAACTATTACGTGGATCAAAGTTAGTGGCTATTTATCATATAATTTTAATCTTTGTAACACAGACAGCGCTCTGTGTGTCCTCCTTCATTTAGTCCGTCGTTTTTGTTTTTTTTTCACTGTTTTAATACTTTAAAATTTGTAAACCACATAATTTATGGTGGTGTGTTGGTCAGCACGTAAATAGTGTTTGACAGGGCCCCATGACAATGAGTGCAATCAACTGTTTGTGGATTCAGTTGAATTAATGTCTACACATGTCTTATTATTGCAGGTGTGTGACGCCGACTGCCGGGTGATGAGCATCGACCTACGGTATCCTGGGTCGGTGCACGACTCTTTCGCGTGGCACTACTTGTGGCTCCGGAGCAACTTCGAGCAAGGCCGGCTGATAGGC